TTTGCTCCCCTGTTTGTTTTCAATGAATGAAAAACGTTTTTGCATTTCATATTTGGAATGTTGGTTTAACATTGATCTAAAGTTTATTTCACTTAATTTACTTAATGGGCTTCTGTACAAAATGCCCACTAATTGTATCATATTGCATAGTGTGGACATTTTCTCTTGGTGTAGATTAATGGGTTTATTGTGTCTTAGCACATGATTTTGGCTCTTTAGCACTAAAAATCATACGGTTACCCAGTGCCCCAAAGTATTTAGAGATGTTACACAATACTAATCGCACAAAGTGTTTAATCCCGTACCGGTTAGAAAACGCTGATGCAATAATGAAGAAAGTATTCAGGAATTTCTTTGCACCCCGTGACTTTTGCGTTGTTTTTCTTTCATCAGCCTTTGGGAGATTTCTCTGTCGCTTTGCCTCTCTGCGAGCCTAAACGTCTGTGCCTCGATATTGACTTCACTGTTTTATTTTTTTTACGGGTGTGTTTTGTCTGAAGGTTTGTGTGTTCCCATTAGACTTGTACGAAACGACCCGAAGGCCCCCTCCGAGGAATGTTACGTTGTTTGAAGAAGTCCTCGCAGATACATGTGTTTTGCATTATTTTGTGCTGCTTTCGGTCACAGCGTTCCTGTTTTCACACTTACATGAAGTGTTTCTCTTGTTCTCAAGCCGCTGTCTACTGCATTCGATGCACAACACTAGAAGGGCGACACGAAGAAATGCACAGGTCAGATTTCACTCCAAAATCAAATGAAAAAATTAGGCATTGTATGTTGGAAATAAAAAAAGTATTTCTTTCCAAGACATTTAAGCACATTTTTCTTCAAATTGTCATTGCCTAATGCAAAAATACATTAGTGCAAAGCAACATGTACTACTGTAAAAATCCTGTCCAGGCACGCATTTTTATTAATCACCATAAATCTAAATCTTTCTATAATAAATTAATGCATTATTTTACTTATATTTTTTGACATTACAGTAATGACAATTGGGAGTTTAAACATGTTAATTGGCTAATAAATGGCAGTAAAAATGTGTAATATTATGTGTTCACTATCATGAATAAAAGGCTATATATATATATATATATATATATATATATATATAGTTGTCATGCAAAAGACTTTAAAAGTGGCATGATAAAAATATAAATGATTTTTCATGACAGTTAACAAATATTTTGACTTTCATTATTACAAAATAATATGCTTTTTTTTTTTGACATTTTCATATATATACACACAACTGTTAATTCTTTTAAAAAAAAATCTTTAAAAATGGTAGATGTTTAAGACACGCATATGAAATTATATATATATATATATATATATATATAATGAAAATCTTGAAACACATTATATGCATACACCTTTTCTTATGATTTTGGGGTGAAATGTGAGCTGGACATTTCCCGATGCTTTTTTCATAAGCTTCACCCAGCAAAGTGCGTAAAGATATTCGTGATTCTCCATGTTTTGCCCTTGAAACCTTAATGCGGGCGACCCGCTCGGCCTACCAAATAAAGCAGCGGCCCAAACGCAGAGGTCAAGCTTCGTCCCGGGACCGTTGATCTACTTCTCCTTTCCAAGCGAGAGCTAGGTGACTTTTGTGAGGCGGCCACATGAGCTCACCGTCGCTAGAGTCGTGTCTTATCCAGTGGACAACGGACGTGTCAATATGCAAACGGATCCCCTCAGAAAGACATGCTCATGGGATTGGCCTTTTACATGTACCTACTGTAGTATTGTACTGTGTTTTGATGTCGGGTCGACGTGGGAAATTTCAAAAAGATAAAAAAGCGACGAAAACTAGACCGTTCTTTTTGCATGATACGAGTAGAGTTGTTATCGTATGTTAGTGTGATGCATGTGTACCTGTCTTTTGATTTCGGCTATTCGTTCCCTAAATGAAAGTTTGTTTATTGTGTTGCTAATCGTGGCGTTTCTGTTCTGGTTTTTGAATCCATTTCTAAGTAAACACAAAAGTTAAACTAAGTATTTTCTTTTCTGCTGTGCTCTGTAAGAACAAACGAACTGGTGTTGTGTGACTATATATATATATATATATATATATATATATATATAGTTGTCATGCAAAAGACTTTAAAAGTGGCATGATAAAAATATAAATGATTTTTCATGACAGTTAACAAATATTTTGACTTTCATTATTAATTGTCATAAAAATGCAAAAATAAAAATATTCTAAATTGTTTTTGACTATTACTGTCGGGTCGACGTGGGAAATTTCAAAAAGATAAAAAAGCGACGAAAACTAGACCGTTCTTTTTGCATGATACGAGTAGAGTTGTTATCGTATGTTAGTGTGATGCATGTGTACCTGTCTTTTGATTTCGGCTATTCGTTCCCTAAATGAAAGTTTCCGTTTATTGTGTTGCTAATTGTGACGTTTCGGTTCTGGTTTTTGAATCAATTTCTAAGTAAAAACAAACGTTAAACTAAGTATTTTATTTTCTGCTATGCTCTATAAGAACAAATGCACTGGTGTTGTGTGGCGTGCCAATCCAAGGCAAGAAACCAGTGTTAAAAACAGCATTTGAGGGATCATATCCTTTTGACACAGTTCTGCTACAGGACAAACTTACTACGTTTCTATGAAGAGTGCCATATTTAACGAAGAAACAGGCATTACGTGACAAAATCGGGACAAAATCACATATGTTGAGCGGGCTAATGTGTGCGTGTATTGAATATCGCATATCTAATTCAAGCGTGTAGATATAGAATTAGAGAAAACGCACACTTTAAACTACGTGGAGAGAATTGAACGTATGGTCCCTTTAAGATGCTGTTGCTCTTTAATTACTTTGTATAAAAAAAGAGAAAAGATGACAAAAATGCAGTGCAATTTGATGATTGTTGCAGATACATGTATAGTTCAGATTTCATGTTCTTTCACGTATAGGTAAATGGCTTCTATTGGACCGAATCTGTTTTTTTGTTTTTTCTACATGTAGATAGTTCATTTTATTTTCATTTAAGTATAAACGCATTTTAAAACCTGTTACTTAATTCATTAAGTAATTTTTATAATTCTTATGTAAGTCTATCCTTATAAGATTAAAAAAAAAGTTAATGTGAATGTGTGTGTCTGAATCTTTATCCGAATGACTGCCTCTTTATGCCGAAAAATCATAAAAAGTATTCAAGCTAAATTTAATAAATAAATTGAACGTTTTATTTTTTTATTCATTATAAAAATAAGAAAAACTTTTAAAAAGTAAAATTTTAATTGGGGTTTGCACCTCAAAATTTTTTAATTTAAAGTCTCTTAGTTATATTATCCTTAAAATAATTTATTGGAAAATACAAGCTCTCTTCAAATAGTTAAAGAAACGTTTAGATTCTCAGACATTGTATTATTAAGGTAATGGCTAATATCAATAATGTTACCTGAGATTATCGTTAATGGTTGTTGAATCCGGGCATCTGCTGAACAGCACGTTCACTTTAGTTCCTGTAGGCTACTTAATTTCTTTTTACTTTAAATAATGTATTTAAGGGTAATTAGAACTTTTTAGAATTAGTAAAACTTTTTTCCAATAATGAGGAATGCATTCTACTTACGCGCTCAATCTTGATTGGTTGACTCAGCTGTCCATCACACTGAGCAGACGGATCGTATTGCGGCGTACCCTTATCTAATGAATATTAATTACGTAGCTTTTACGTTGCTCGGCAACCTTCCCTGAGCGTCTCCTGCTAATACCTAATTTATATTCATGAGCTAAACCATCTGACCCGCGTCTGCATTCCAACGCCGCTGTCAGCAAATCAGTAGTCGAACGTCACGGTACGTCATTAATATTCATGAGCCGAACTCGATTTGTAAATACGAGCGACGCTGTCGAAGGACTCGCTCGAGTGCGCAGTGAACACTGAGCAGAGGTGTTTTCCACACTTTTTGAGACTTGAACAGTAAGTTAGGCACTTCATCCAGGTGGACAGAAACTCCTGAGCGATGGTCGAGGTGTTTTCAGGCCGGACTCTGGTGAATAAAGAAGGAGATCTGGTGGATCCGGAGGAAGCGCTCGGGAATAAAGTGGTCGGTCTGTATTTCTCGGCTGCATGGTGTCCTCCGTGTCGAGACTTCACCCCGCTGCTGTGTGATTTCTACACCGAGCTGGTGGAGGAGAGCGAGCCTCCTGCACAGTTTGAGATCGTCTTCATATCCTCGGATAAATCCACAGAAGACATGGTGGAGTATTATCATGACATGCACGGGGACTGGCTGGCTCTGCCCTGGACGGATCCCTACAAACAGTGAGTTGCATTGCGTTTGGATGCATGCATGAGTTATTGTGCATCTGCCACAGTCCTTTGATTTCCTTTATTTTTTTAGCCCTTTTTTGTACTGTATTTTACTATTTATTGCATTAAACATTTTAAATATCCAACAATTTCTGTGTGGTTTGATTTCTTCTTATTTTTAGCTAGACTTTTTGTACTGCATTTTACCATTTATTTTTATTGCATTAAATCTGTTTTATCGCATTATCTTTTAAAATGGCAACAACTGTTTGGTCAAAATTATGTTGATTTGAAATAAATTTTAAATAAAGCCGTTTCAGAAAAAAAAATTATATGATGTTATATTGTATTAAATGTATATATTACGGTATATGTAAACTAGCTACGAAGCATAACTCTGTGTTGTGAGTTGTGTGATCTGAAGTTCATGTGTTTGTGGTGTTGACGTGTTTTTTGCTGTTTTCCAGTGAACTGAAGAAGAGATACAACATCACAGCCGTACCGAAGCTGGTCATCGTGAAGGAGAGCGGTCAGGTGATCACAGACAAAGGCCGAAAGCAGATCCGGGACCAGGGTCTGGCGTGTTTCCGGAGCTGGCTGGAGGTGGCCGAGATCTTCCAGAACTTTAAAGGCTGAGAATCACGTGGAGAAGGACTGCTGAAACCAACGCTTTACCTGCAGAAAAGAGCCAGAACATTCTTATGCAATCTATGTTGAAGTACTGAAATAACTCAAATTAAATAAAACTAAAACTTAATAATCCACAAGTAATCCACATCACTCCAGTCCATCAGTTAATGTCTTGAAAAGCTGTGTGTTTGTAAGAAACAAATCCTTCATTAAGATGTTTTTAACTTCAAGCCATTGCTTCTGGCTAAAATGTAAGTCCATAATCCATAATAACGCTTCCTCCAGTGAAAAAGTCCATCTCCTGTTGTCTCTCACATCACAATCCAGCCACATATTTGTTTAGAGCTGTTTTGGCTTGTAAACAGTGCTTGATCTGTGCAGATTTCTCTCCTGATTCAGACCAGACCACTTTTCACTGGAGGAAGCGTTATTATGGATTATGGTCTCATATTTTAGCTAATATTTTAGGTTAAAATGTCTTAATGCTGGATGTGTTTCAGCTTTTGTCTTTTCCAGATGTTAACTGATGGACTGGAGTGCTGTAGATTATTGTGATGTTTTTATCAGCTGTTTGGACTCTCATTCTGACGGCACCCATTCACTGCAGAGCATCCATTGCTGAGACACTGATGCAATGCTACATTTCTCCAAATCTGATGAAGAAACAAACTCATCTTGGACGGCCTGAGTGTGATGATATTATCAGCTAATTTTCATGTTTTCAGAATGCTTTTGCTACTTCTTTTTTGTACAGCTGCTTTTATAAGAATCTATTTATTTATATAAATATGCTCTCGTTGATGTAGGAATCTATGCATATTCTCTCATGTTACTGGAAGAACAGCAGATGTTTACTGGTTCTGTTGTTATGGTACATCAGAATGCTTCCTGTTCCTCTGCGTCTCATTAAAACTCCCAGATCGTCCTTCGAGAGTGTTTTTCCACAGCACTCAGTTCCCTGTCCGGATCTGTTTTGCTTTCAGTTGCAAAACACGCGCTGAACCCATTCCTTCAGTATGTCAACACCGATCCGACTAATGAGGGAGTATTGTGCAGAGAAATGAGCTGTGGGATTATGATTGCTCATATCTCAACTATACTACGACTATACCTGACTAAGCAAAGCGTTTGAATTAAGATACGACATTAAGATGAAAATATTTGCTATTTCAAGTAATAAAACTATTAATATAGTGAATAATAATGAATTACAGGCTACCTGTGTTCTAGAACATGCAACTAAGTACAGTCAATATTTATGATGAGGCACCCCATTAAAAAAATTATTTTATTACCTTTTTTTAAGTAATTTAATTGTATTTGAAAAATTTTTACACTATAGGACTCTAAATACTCAAAATATTCACTTCTATAAATAAGTTTCTATTGAAATAAATGTTTTAATGCAATATATAAATGTTTAACAAGGGTGTAGGTTTGATTTTGACAGCAGACGATCCATACCAACCCTCTTTAAATATGAAGAGGAAGATGCCATTCACTTGCCTGGCAATGCTGTAAGTGACTTTTCTTTCTGTTTTAAATATGGTTTCTTTAGTTTGTTTGACTGCATCTCTATATTCATCCTATGATTTATTACATTTTTGTTAACCTGGCAACACATCCCTTACCAAAAAAAAACAGTTAAACCATGGTAACCACAAATTAACCATGGTTTTACTGCACTAACCATAGATTTACCATGGTATTTGTAGTAAAACTGTGGTTATACATAATCAATACGCCAAAAAAACATGGTTACTACACCTTTACCATAATAAAACCATGGTTACTGTTCTTAAAGGGGTCATATGATG